CCATGAACTTGCTTGCATGTATGACCACACTGACTGATTGCAGTGTGAACACATACCCACAGCCTACACCTAAAGCAAACAATATGAAAAGGTACGAGGAAAAATAAAGCAAAAGAGGGCTGCAAAAAATAAATGGTAAGGGCAAGGAAATCAACAGCGCAAATATTGAATCAGGGATAAAATAGTTTATCCATGTATTAAAAACAGTTCCAGCGAACAAGGAAAATACTGAAAGAATACCTTCCCACCTACAGGATATATGTTTGGTTGCAAATGTCTAAGTGAGAAAACAGAAACTTGCATGCCAGTGTCTTCGAGTAACATTTCTTTCTGCAGGGGACGTGTAGCAGCTTCTCCCACCTGTCTGTGTGGGTGTGTGTCTGTATACATCAAGATGCACATGGTCTGCAGACTACAGGTCACACTGAGCCATGCTGCATTCCCGCCAGCCAGCATTGCAACTGAAATTGTCACGTGGTGGGAAGGGAGAAACTTCCTAGAGCAAGGTTTGCAAGGAGGAGATGGTCCTGCACAGTGCTGGGGATTTGGCTCATGTGCTGCACCAGAGCAGACCAAAACCACAGCAGGTGCAAAGGTTTTGTCCCGTCCCTGAATGCATCCGTCAAGTGACAGTCTCCAGGTATGGCAGGACTGACTGAGCCAAGGGGTCTGTGGCTATTTGCCCTGAAAAGCAACCAAGCCACAGTATTCCCTCCCACCCACCCCTTGTCACAGCATCCACGCTATTGTCCTTCACAGCAGCTCATGATGCTCCACTCACTCCATGACTACCAGGGTTTTCTAGGAAGCATTTTCATGCAATACTGGTTCCTAGCAGAATCGTGCTTGTGATTGCCTAACACTGGAGTGTCCTGAAGGGGAAAAGTCACTTACCTCCTATCTGGATGACGAAACAGTCAACTGGCATTGGAAAATATATTTGTAATGCCTCATCCTTCCCTGGGGCACTGCTCATTTCTCTCTAAGTGTTGCCTTAATTTACTGAAAGCAATTAGGGTCAGAGCCCTGGCTGCTGTTCAGACATTGCGCGCTGCAGGTCCCAGTGTCAAGCAGAGCTGTCCAACTCTCACTTCTCGCTGCAAAACCAGAGATGCTCTGCCTGTGCCAAGGGAGGCCCTGAGTTACTCACACGGCCGAGCCCCAGCCCCGAGTCCCACAGGCAGCTTGGACTCTCACAGGCACACAGTGATCTCTGAGAAAAACGAGACTGAGCAACAGGTTCAAAATGTACAAAAGTGGTGGCACCATCTACAGCACCCCACCTACTACCACTCCTTTCAGCCCTTCCCTCTCGCTTATTGCCATTGTCATGGATTTATCCCCTCAGGGTGCAGTGGAGCCTCTGAGTTCCGCAAAACCTGTGCAGGAGCTAAGCAGGTTGTGCATCATCTCCCCCCAGCAAAATGGGAACGGGAAGCCCCACCCAGGAGTTCCCCAGGCTTTAACCCAGCAATCCCTCAGGACTTCAAAGGCATGAAGGGAGCTGCTTAGGAAATCTTGGCAATTAGTACAGCCACTCACAGACACCCTTCCTTAAACCTCAAGGGAAAATTGAAACAATGAATAATGTTATTAAACAGTCAGAAACTGAAAAATTTGGTTGGAGAGTGAATAGCATGGCTGGCTGGTTGCTGCTCCCAGGGCAAACAGTCTCATGTGCATGCCAAGTGCTGCTGCTGGCCATGGGTCACTGTGGTGCTGCACACAGCCATGGGATGGAGTAACACAAGGTCCAGGCTTCCCAGTCATCCCTCCGGGCATCCCATGCTGGGGAGCTGCAGCTGGTCAGCCCTGCCCAGCCCTGGGAGCCATCGCTGACATTGCACCCACCTGGCTATCCCCTCAGCCAGCGAAGGCTCAAATTCACAAAGCACTTTGCTATTGTGTGGAGTCCTTCTCCTTTGAAAAATTTGTTTTAGGGCTATGAATGCACATGCAAGTGTTCATTATTTCTGTGGTCAGAGTCCAAGCCTCTGGCAGCCTAGATCTCCATGGTGCCTTCAAGGGGGAACCTCCTTTCTGTGGCACAGCGGGATTTAATGGGAACTACTAAACATGGAGGCAGAAGGTCAAACCATTATAGATGGTGGTGATAATGAAATTGGCCCCTGGGTCACAGGAAATCCATCTGTCTGCCCAGAGAGGATGGTCACCAACACTAGATTGAGTCACTTGAGGTTTTGTCTAGCTGAGTCTTGAAAACCTCCATGGGCAGAGACTTGTATCTGCTTGTATAGGCAACTAACCTAGTGACATTTTTTCCCCTGATGGACAGCTTGAAAATCCTAAGAGACAACCTGTGTCTGTTACCTTGTTTAGTACTGGCCATTTCTGTGCTGTCTCTGGAACTCCTTTCCAAGGCTAACTGGGTCAGCCTGAGCCTTCCTTGTCTCCAGCCAGGCCACATCTCCTCCTACGCCCATGCCATCTTGCAATCCTTGAGCCAGATCAGTTTCCTACATCCCTCTTGAATTTGGGGGTCCAGCACTGGAAAAAACACTCCAGGTAGAACCACTGACTATGTTAGGACTCTGAGAGCACCACTGGGACTGGCTGCCCCTGCCCAACCCACAGGGCTTCCCCCTCCTCCCTGCCCATGGCCCAGGACCCCATCTCAGATTTTACAAGCAAGTTGCTGACCTCTTTTTTTTGGTGTTAAATACCCGGAAAGAGACTTGCCTTAGAAAGGGCACTGAAACACATAGCCCAACAACCATCTGCCTAAAGCAAGGTGTTATTTTACAGTTTAAAGTACTTTGTTCTGTCCTCAGGAAGGACAACATTCTCAGGAATATTGTCTTCTTTAATCCTTTCCATTAAAAAGTCACGTGGTACAACACTCCACACACTTGATTTTTAGGGGCATAGCCCTGGTTCTCCTGGGAAGGCTTTCCCCACTGACCAGATTTTCCTCCAAGACCAAGTGAGCTGCAGGCACCACACCACTTGCTGTAGACAAGTGCCCATATTGTGCAACTTCCCTCTGCACCTCTCAGATCCCCAAAATGAAGATTTGCTGCTGCTCTTCTGCAGAAGAGCACCCTGAACATGCCAGGATTAGTACCCATTTATTCCTAATTCCATGTTTTTTCTGTGCCAGACAAGGTCAGAGCCACTCTTCTGGCAAGTTGAGTCACAGGACTTCCTTCTTCAAAAACACCCCACGGCTTGCAAGATCGTGTAATTATGTGTGCATGTGGGACACTCTTGCAATGTGATAATTTAAGGTCTCTGAAGGGTCAGCAGAGGGCACTGAGTCAAATTTCTTGGAAATTTTGAATATACCAAACTTGGCATAACAATCTACCAAACTTATTTATCACATCTACTTCAAATAATTATTACCTAGGCAAACATACCATCCTTCAACTGATTTCAATATATGCTGTGACCGAGATGCTGTACAAACTTTCAGTGACTCCTTGTCAATGACAACACAGACATTTAAAAGTTTTTATGTATATTTCCTTATCTAATCAGTCAAATTACGGTTTATGGTGCAACTGAAACTGTAATTTCATTTGGCTTTGTTCCTTGTAAAGGTATATGTGACATTGTTTACCTTAGAATACAATACTCCTGGACATTGTTTATACAACAATTTTCTGTTTTTCTGTTTCTGCTTCCCACCATTAATTCAAATATTCTTATTTGAATCTTCCTGAGTGTCATTGTGAGCCTTCCTGTTAACCATGCACCTGCTTCTTCTACTCTTTTAAAGTATGACATGGTATGGCCATGCCTGATGATGAACAAGACGCTGAAAAACACCATGTTGTGTTTGAGAATGAGAGGTACGTGCAGGAAAGACTCGTTACAACCGGCACTTGGGAGGTGAGAGAATCATGGAGGGATTTGTGTTGAAAGGGACCTTAAAGATCATCTAGTTCCAAACACGCTGCCAGGACCAGGGACACCTTCCACTAGACCAGGCTGCTCAGAGCTCCATCCAAACCAGCCTTGAATAGTGCCAGGGATGGGGCATCCACAGCTTCTTTGGGCAACCTCTTCCAGCAGGATTTCTTTCCTTTTATTTAACCTTAGTTTTCCTTCTTACAGCTTTACTCCCCTGTCCCAGCAGTTCCCGATGAAGAGTCCCTCTCTGGTTTCCCTGTAGGCCCCCAGCAGATACTGGAAGGCTGCTATGAAGTCTCCACACAACCTTCTCTTCTCCAGGCTGAACAGCCCCAGTGTTCTCAGCCTGTCTTCCTGAAGCAGGTGCTCCAGTCTCCTTATCAATTCTGTGGCCTCCTGGACTTGCTCCAACAGTTGCATGTTCCTCCTACGTCAGGGGCACCAGAGCTGGATGCAGCACCACAGGTGGGGTCTCACCAGAGCAGAGCAGAGGGACAGAATCACCTCCCTCCACCTACTGGCCACGCTGCTTTAGATGCAGCCCAGGATTTGTTTGGCTTTCTGGGCTGCGAGCCCACACTGCTGGCTCACGTTGAGTTTCTGGTCAGCCACCACCCATTAGTCCTTCGCCACAAGTCTGCTGTCAGTCATGTCTCTGCCCAGCTTGTAGGTGTGCCTGGGATCAAATCCATGTCTCCAATTTAGAGACAAGGATGTTGTGCAGTACAGTGTCTAATGCTTTGAGCAAGCCCAGGCAGACAACATCCATGGCTTTGTCCCTATCCACCAGTGCTGTAGACACAGCACTGTGTTCCTGTGAGATTTTGCTAGAATTTGACTGCAAACATGTGCCCAAGACTCTTCTCTAATAATACCTCACCTCAACTGAGCAAAAACTTCATGCATGCACACTGCTGTAGTTCCCACATAAAGGTAACCTACCTTCTGCCCTGGTAAACCAATGTCTTGGAGATGGCCATGATCTTCAGCCACCTTACAAGGTTCACCACATCTGAATCACTGACTTGTCAAAAACAGTTCATTTGCTATTCTCACATTGCTTTATTGTGTGTGTATGTGTGCTTCAAAATATCAAAAAAAAAAAAAAAAAATCAGCCACTGAGCTTTGGACACAGTTTTATTTTGGAAATCCCCCTCTGGTTTTTTTTTTTGGTTTTTTTTTTTACCTTCAGCCACATTTTGGATGATCCCATATGAATGGTTTACCAGAAGTACACTGCTTTGCCACAGTGATTACAGTTTTTCTTGTAGCGCTGGCCCCACGGGCAGACATGGCCAAACTCTTGTGTACACAAGAGGGGTGGGATTCTGCCATAAAATGAACCTTGCTTGGCAAACTTTTCTTACCATGGGAATTGGTGAAAAACTTACTTCCGTTCCCACCTTCAAGTATTTATGAGAGAATTTACAGCCCTGGTTTATATTCATCTGCCTTAAAGGTGAGCACCACCAAGTAAAGTGCTGCTCACACCTTCTGCACACGTTCCACTTCCAAAGAAACACCTCCTAAACCTTGACCTCCAACAATGACCGTAATAAAGAAATGTCAGTTTTGAGATAGTCCAGATTAAAAAGCTTTCCAAATGGTTTATTAGGAAATGGGACAACACCCAAACTAACCAGACAGCCTGGTCCTTCTACTGGTGTTTGCATGAAGGCAGCCATGGCTTACAGCTGGGTGAGGGTTAATAACAAGGGCAAATAAATCAGGCTTCATTAATTTTCCATTATCTGTGAAGATCTAAGGAGACTGATGTACTTAGAAATGCATGGCTCCTGGCTGTCATGTCTGCAGACCAATAAGCGATACTGGTTCCCTGTGTCAAGTCCCAGCTTCCCAGGCAACTGGATGTGTCCCACCCTACCACTGCTGCCACCCAGAGAGCTCCCCAGGTGCAAAGACCCATGGTGGAAGGGAGGGAAGGCACCCAGAGCACTCTGCCCTCTCCCCCACCACATATGCAGCTCCCCTCTTTGACAGGAAGACTTGAGAGCACACTGAGGGGAGAGGCAAAGGCTTTGCCCCTCCTGGGACACGGCTGCCGGATGTGGTGAGCTAGAATGGCAGGGAACAGAGCAAACAGCTCTTGGCCTCTTCTGGGAGACAGGGACTCTTCTGATTCAAAGAAGAAGGCACAAACCCAACTCCAGTGGCATTCCCATCGAGGAGTCTATTTGACACTTGACACAGCACAGATCTGGCAGTCATGACAGACCTGGCAGGTTCTGATACAGATGCTCACAGAAACGTGTCCTTTGGTTTTCTGCACATGCCACAACCGTGACTCACCTTCTGTCATTACAAGATGACAGAGACAACCTGGCAAGCCCAGAGCAAGCAAGCGATATCACCACCATGATACATACATTTACAGAAATCATTGTGTTTCTTAATTAGGATTCCAACTGAAGAATTTCCAAGGAGGAAAAAAAAGAAGTGGGCAGGGGAATTAAACCGATACCTTACAAATGATGATTCGTGACGCATTCACCAAACTGACACCTGAACACGCAGTAATCACTGATGCAAAATTTAGCAGATACCAGTGATCTGGTTGATCACATCACATCAGTGGGAATAAGCATCATCCAGAGGTGTAGAAAAAACATGGCTTGAGAAACTCCCTTTTACCAAACATTAAAGCAATTGTCAACTCGAGTGGGGATGAGGGATGTATTGAACATGGGTACTCCAAGTGAAAGCAGGTTGCCTGTTGAACTGTCCCAAAACTAGTTTGACCTACATAAAGCAGGAATGGTGATCAAAACCCTATTCTGGGTAAGGGTTTAAAGGAAAGAGCAGCAACCTTACAGTGACTAACATGTCAGGAATGGGTAAGTGAAAATTCTAGACGTCAGATACAAATGGCAAGTTCAAAGGTGTATGTGACTGACAGAGGAAGCTGAAGGAATTAATGAAAGTCTCCACAGCCTTACAGGTAGCAGTGGGCATAGAACCATTTCAAGAGACAGAAAGTCAGGAACAGCAGAGCAGAAATAACAGCTGCCTTCAGCATCTAATTCTGATTGTTCTTCTATTTTGGGATAGGTCCTTTCATGGAAAAATACTGATGCACAAGCACCTTCCACAGCCACCATGTTTACTTTCAGCATTCCCCAAACTGGGAAAGCTTCACAGCCACAGGGTGTGAAGAAGAGGAGTGGCTGATAAGCCTCTGGCCCTGATTTTCACAATACTGACTCAGAGCTGACCAGCTCCCTCCAAGCTGTCACTGCCACCATACCACCACCAGGAAAGATGTGACCAATGTGATTTTGGAAGTCAGCAGATGAGCAGTGAGCAGGGGTTAGCAGCCGATGTGTTCAGAGGCCGGTGGGGACTGGGGATGCTGTCATGAGACAGGCTGGAGAGGGACAGCATGGCACCATGACCCCTCCAGCAGCTATCATTCCTTCTTCTCCGCTGGGACCGGCACCAGCTGGGGTGCAGCCGTGTGCAGCAGCGCGAGCCCACAGACTGTCATGGCAAGGCCGACCCACCACAGAGGTGTCCACGTCTCCCCGAAGAGCAACCTTCCCAGGATAGCCTGAAGGAAAACAGAGACACAAAGCTTTGCTGGGCTGAGCTGCCCCAAGGCCTCCTGTGCTGCCAGAGCTGTGAGGACTTCTGGGAGAGACAGCCCTGGAAAAAACCTGGTTGAGGAAACTCCTGCTGGGATGACCAACAGGAATGGCTGCTTGACATGATGCTGGAGATGACTAACTTCACCAGCAGCCTGGAAGCACAACCATACCGTGGTCCTTAAGCAGGATTTGACAGATGCACATGTGCTTTGCTGCCTTCCCAGCACTTCTCAGGAGCCAAATTTGCCACTGACTGGGCATTTATTATTATTGTCGATTATTAGACACCACCATGAGCTGTCTGACAACCGGAGCACAGAAACAAGGTGGACTGCTGTCAAGAGCAAAAAGCAAGTGGAAAAAACCTGTGGGTTGAAGACTCTCTTGCTGTCACTAGAGGTGATGCATCTTCAGACCCAGCTAGGGTGACTCTGGCTTGTCACAAGTGAGGTGCTCAAAGGAAAAGCAAAATGAAGCAAAGTTCCCAGCTCCAGCTCCCACTGGCAATCAGAAAACTTCAGTAAACTGTGTTGCTGCTGCAGGGCACAGAGCAGCACCCTTCCTCCTGCACCACCCAGGAAAGTTCCACCATCTGTGCCACGAACAGCTATCAGAGCAGCTGAGGCCTGACACAATCATTTCCCATCTGCCTGTAACTCTCCCTTTGCGGCCAGCGATGCCGGTTGCACTGGGAGATGGGTTACAACCAGCACGGGCATTCCCACCTCGCTGCGCTCCTCAGGCTTCAGTGTCTGGGGAAGGGTCTACTCACCGAAGAGATGAAGTTGGAGGCTGTCGTTGTCACAGAGGCAGCAGCTGAGGAGGAGGAGAGTCGTAAGGCCTTTGTGAAGACTGTCCACATCACTGCATTGCACACAAACACCAGGCCAACACAGATGAGGCGAAGCAACACTAGCAGCTGCAGGACAAAATGGAAAACTCTGTGTATTTTCACCCCGCACTTATTCAACCTCAATAATTCATGCACACTTTGGAGCCAAACCTAATGGTGTCGGCTTTTAAAACTGAATTGCAGCTAGTATTACATGAAGATGAATATATTAAATCACAGAAGGAAATGGAAACAAGGAAACAGCTCTGGACAGACTATGAGCCTGCCATTCCTGCTGCAAGCCCAGCCTCACATTACAACCTCAGAAGTGCTGGGATAATGTGCAGCAGCTGCCATGCCAGAAGCCAACATGCAGAAAGCTCTCCAGTTCACCAAGTGATGCCACATACAACACTCAGAAATGCCCTTCACTTACCATTTGATGTATGGAAAAGGGTCAAATTCAGTCTGACAACACCAGAGATGTACACGCTGGCACTGTGTGTGCTCCAGAACCCAACTGTGAATGTGAGCCAAGACCTGGGTGGTCCCAAAGCACTGGTCCTTACGAGCTCCCAGGACCTGGCCTGCCCTATGCTGCAGTGAAGGTAGAGCAGGATCTCTGGGAGGAAAGAGTGGGCTGAGTGGCTTCATGCCTTGTTTTGGACGCTCACTGGAGAGCAGGGAAGTTTACTGATGGGGTCTCTGCTCTAGCATTTAATAGCAATAAAACCAATTCTGAATTCAAGGGCCTCATGAAAGATCTCCCTCCTTAGACAACCTGACCAGGTGTGTAACTGCCTCAGTCTGAAAAAAGGGCAGCACAGTTGCACCTAAAAATCCAGTGTCATTCACAGTGCCCCCCCCCTTCCTAGTTTAAGCAGCTGAGACCATCTCCCCAGCACCTGGGTACCATGTAGCTGATGTGAAGACACCAAGGGAGATCACAGGCAGGCAGATCACAACTCTCACAGTGACAAGTAAAAGCAAAGCTTTGTCTATGCCCGTAGCAATCACAGCTTCATAGCCTGCCATCTTTCAGTCCCTGGTGGGATCCATCTTGAGGCAGACAGAAATGCAAGTCTGAGGCCACCACCAAGTACAGCTCAGAGGTGGCACCTGCCCTGTGGGAATGGCTGCAGCGTCCTCCTGCCAGCTGCCCAAATCAACGGCATCCACCAACTGTGTCCTGCTCCCACTCAGAAGAACTTACTAATTGCAAGCAGTGGGGGAGCCCACAGTTTTCTGAAGCAAGTGATATGGCAAGTACAAAGTTAAAAGGAAAGCAACACAAAGCAAATCCATGCTTGATGGCTGGCACTAGCTCTCAGAGGCTAATCCCACTCCAGCGAGGGATGGTGCAGGTGTGTGGCCACATTTTACCCCACTTGTGGCAAAGGTCGCCAACTTTTGCAACTGATCAGGGCAACAGTAAAGATTCAGAATGACTCCCACCAGTGAATCACTTTGTTTTCCCACTGACACCCTGGCAAACCCTGTGTGGATGGTTAAGAGGGACAACCATGTCCAGCTACTACTGCTCCTCTGAGGAAGAAAACTTCTGCTGTGTTAGGGCTCCCCACAGGATGGGGTATGCCTCCCAGTTTCACTCTCTGCCTGTATGACCTGGCAGTTTTAGTTTCCTCAGGGAGCTATGTACATCCATGCACCTCTAGTGAGTAAGCAGACTTGGGAGTAGGGATGAGAGGGCAAAACAATTCTCTGTGTTTCACGTAACTCCAGTGTACTTCTGGAGCAGAAAGACACCATGCTGCTGAGGTAAAAAAAAAGCCTTAAGAAATTTTGTTACTGCCTCCATCCATTAGCCCAAGGGTGTAGAGGGATGGAGCCCAGGCTCTTCTCCAAGGTCCATTAGGATATGACAAGAGGCAACAAGTGAAGTATGGAACAAATGCCATCCGAGGAAAAGCAAAGGTGATCAAGCATTGGGACAGAGGTCATGGGCTCTCTGACCTTCTAAGTATTTAAAACTTAACTGGAGAACATCATGTGTAACCAAGGCTGCACTAGAGACCTCCAGAGATCTTGCCAGACTTGAGCTAGTCTGAGACTATTGGTGGTGAAGCAAAGCTGGCTCCCACCATCACAGCAACTATGCCACCTTCAAAAGTGACCCAGAACCCATGGCTTCTTCTGATCTCCTGATGCAGAGCCAGGGAAACCAGCTGCAGGTGGCACATGCCCAGAAGGAAAGTTTATCAGAGAAAGGTCAAGTTTCTCTGTGCCCAGGGCAGCAGAGTGGTCATCGCAATGGTACGCAGACAGAGAGATCCCCATGTGCTCCCCACAAGGAAGGAGGGAGATAAATTCCTCCCCTGCTAAGGGCTCAGCTGAGCCACCCCAATGAGTCAAGGATTACTGTTCTGATTGCTTTTCTAAGCAAAGATTAATTTCAGTGTACATTTCAGATAATCCAGAATCACTCCTGAAGTGGCAGAAGTAATTTTAGATGAAGATTGGCAGGGGAGCGGAGAAAGCAAAGAAAAACTTTTGTTCAAGTGCAATGAACCTTCCTGGTCAGACTGCTCTCAGGCTGGGCCACCACAGCACATTTTTGTGGCCAGGAAATCCATCCCTGTGGTGCCATGAGTATCCTGCTACCCTGCATCACCAGCTCTTAGAAGTGTCAACACACTTTTTGCTGCCATGCTCCGCACTGCACAAGTGATGGCGGTTATTCCACTTATTTCTGTAGCTCTTCCTCCAACACAAAACCCCTGGGATCTCTGTCACCTCCTGGCTGCTCTGCAGAAATGCCTTTGCCACATGAGTGCACTGAAATACTTATGTATCTACAGTCCCATGCAATTTAAGCTACTAGGAAGATTATGGCATTTACATAAAACTTGGCTAGTTTTACAGCTAAGCTGATTAATTTAATTAGTAATTGTCACCTGGAGTGGACCTAAAAACCAAAACAAACCCATCTGCCCATAAAAAAGAAACAGTCACAGAAAACACAGCACGGCAGAGGTTGAAAGGGATGTCTGGGGTTCATCTGGTCCAACCTCATCACTCCAGCAGATTGCTCAGGTCCATGTCCAGACACTATATGAGTATCTCCAAGGATGGAGCTCTACCACATCCCTGGGCAACCTGGGCCAGTGCCTGGTCACCCTCACAGTTTCTGGATGTTCAGAGGGAACTGCCCATTTCAGTATAAAAAAGTGCCCTTTGCCTCTGGTCTTGTTACTGGGGTAACAAGGACTGGAATTCGCCACTGGAATGAGCCTGGCTCCATCCTTTGTGCGTCCCCCTTGCACGTATTCAATTCTACACATTGAAAAGATCCCCCTGAACCTTCTCTTCTCCAGGAGGAACAGTCCCAGCTCTTTCAGCCTCTCCTCACAAAAAAGATGCTCTGATCCCTTCATCATCTTTATCAGCCTTTGCTGGACTCTCCAGTAGCTCCATCTCTTTTTTTTGCAGTGGAGAGCTCAGAACTCAACCCAAAACTCCAGGTGTGGCCTCACTGGGGCTGAGTAGAGGGGAGGGATAATCTCTCTTGACCTTCTGGCAACACTTCACATCAATGACACGATACTTTGTCATAGCACATTAAAAAGAAAAGAAGTACCAACCTCCCCCCACACCCGCCCCCAAACCATTGGGCAATATTTTTATACATTTCAACACAGAAAAATACTCAGAAAAGATGCTGTCAGTATTTTGAGTAATTCCATTCTCTCAGTACAGAGCACAATTCGGGTTTTTTTGGACAGAATGAAGAGTATCAGGATTTATTTCTCCTTTCTGAGATCTCAGAAGGGATCAACAGGCTTGGCAGGTATTGACCTTTGCCTTTTAAACCCTCTGTAATAATCACACAGGTCAATCACTGAGATCTCAGAAGGGATCAACAGGCTTGGCAGGTATTGAGCCTTTGCCTTTTAAACCCTCTGTAATAATCACACAGGTTGATCACTTGGTTTTTGGTTGTTTTTTTTTTTTTTTTTTTTAATTTTTTTTTTTTTTTTACTTGTGCAAGGCTGGATTTGCTTCAGATCTAGTTTCCCTTATGGGTTCCCTTTTTTATATTTGCCATGTGAGTAACAACCTAGGCCTAAATGAATCTCCCCAAAGTGCTTTTAGGATACATTTAGTGCTTTTAGGATGCTGCCTGTCCCCACTCACACACAGCCTGGTGTCCATGTCCCCCTGTGCCGTGGCTGTGCCCGAGGTCACTGCTGGAGGTAAGGACACTGCCTCTGAGGTGAAGGGCCAGCAGTGCCGCGTAACCGCAAGCACACGGAGGTCTGTGAAACAGGACCGAGATAAAGATCACAACCAACGGTGAACACCCAAAGAGCAGCAGAGAGGAAATCAAGGGCTCCACCTCTCTGCTCTGCTCTGCTCAGGGCCGAGCAGAGATAGAATAAAAGGACGAAGGGCGCTGCTATCAGCAAAACAGCGATCTGAGAATAAGCATTTGATGCTCAGTCATACTAACATCCTGCTTAAAATAGCATTGACGTGGAAGGACTGGAAATGAGCTCCCAGAGCTGGGCTTGGTTCGGGGCATTCCCTCGCCACGCTCGCTCCCCTCACACGCGGCAGCCTCGCCGCGCTCCCCGCGCTGTTTACGTCGGCACCGCGCCTTAGTCAGTCCGGCAAGGCTGGGCTCCCCCCGGGCTGAGTCACGGCTCCGCCCGCCGAGACCGCCCCCCTTTCCCTGCAAATCCAGGGCAGCCCCTGGGAGCGCCGGAGGAAGAACCAGGGCGCTCCTTCCCCTCCTCCGCCGCGACGAGCGGCGCAAGCCCCGGCGCCGAGTGCCGCCTGCGGGGCGGCCGCACGGCACCTCGGGGCGCCCAGCACCGCCTGCTCCCTCCTTACCGGGCCGCCGGCCGCCTCCCCGCCCGGGCCCAGCGCCAGCTTCGCGGCCCGGCCCGCGCAGCGCCAGCGCCGCCCCGCGCGGGCGGGGCTCAGGCGGGAGCGGGCGGGCAGCGAAGGAAGGGCGCGTGGGCAGAGCTCGCTGATGGGCAGAGCTCGCTGATGGGCAGAGCTCGCTGGTGGGCAGAGCTCGCTGATGGGCAGAGGCTGCATCGACACAAACTGGGGAGCACGGGGCCGCAGCATAACGCTGTTGCTGCTGTGGCCACGTACAGCACAGAAAAAGGGCAGAAGCCTCTGCCGACGTGAAGATAGTCCAGAAACAGACAGGAAAGAAATACTTGTAATCTAGAACATGGCTGTCACAAATAAAAGCATCCTTGATGAACCCCTCTTGGCCTGTGTGCTTATCCGTGCTAGTTCTGACCTCTGTTCACACCCCAACGCCTTCTCTTTGTGAAAAATGTGTATTTTATGATTGGCTTTCTGCAAATATTAAAATGAATATGGTATGTGTTATGTTAGAAAGTTATGCTGTATTAATTTCCTTAAGTAGTGTGTTAAATACAGTTTTAGGTTATAACATAATGTTAAAATAGAAAGTATGCTATGTATGATATTTTTTTAAAAGAAAGGACTTGCACCAGATAGCAGCCCCAGGACACCTAAGTCTTTCAAAGAGAATTTATTGCTCCCTTATCAGCAGAAAGTGAACTTCTTCCCACCTCGCTCAGACAGGAAGGCACCGTTAGGATTCATAGGAAGAAGTTGACGATTACCAAAGTGCTGTGTTTGAATGGAATTTATGCATAATGTATGAGGTGTATGAATATGCAACAGGGGATTATTTTTAAGGGTTAACCCTTGGTTAACGGGTGTCCTTTTTCCAGCTTGTGTTGCCCAGAAAAAGGTACCCAGATGTCCATATCTCTCTGTTTTTATTGTCTCATATTGTCCTAATCTCAATTGTTCAAATTTTATTACTCTAATTATATTACTAGTGTTATAACCATTTTATTACCATTAAACTTAAAAATTTTAAAAACAAGTGATTGGCGTTTTTCACACCTTTAAGGTCAGCTTTTTATTTCTCCACGTCACATCTCAAGTGGAAACAAATCTGCAGCTTAAAATAGGTAAGGTGGTGGAAATTCTTCTTTCCCTCAGCCAAATAATGTAATAAATCATTAGGTATATTCTACCATTTACCAGACACATCTTTCCTCTCTATTCCCTTTTGCCCCAGTGGTTGTGGTCAAAACTAGTATTGTATGAATTAGCCAAAAAAAGAACGATAGGAGTAGAGGCAGTAAAAAACCTCTAGTTTGATATTGCTACAGAAATCAACATTTTGTGTTCCACTAATAATCATTTCAGTTATTTGCAATAAATCTTTAAGTGTGATTAAATGAACTTATGCTGTACTCCTATAAAATGTTCTGCATATTTTCAGATCTTCTTTCCTAACATTTTTCACTTCTTTGATAACAAAATGGTTGCAAAACCCTCAGAATTTCCTACAGTGCTAATATAGAGTTTTAAGTCTATACTAACAGAAAAGAATGTTTGAAAAGCATTTTATTTTCAAAAAAAAGAAAGAACAGAAACAAAAAATGTATTTATAGTACTATTTACAAGCCTGTTACTAAATTCACATTTACGCTTCATTGACCAAAGTTTAATATGAAAATTATTTTTAAGCAACCCAGGAAAATCATTCTATGCTTAACTAAAGAAACAAACACAAAGAAATTGTGCTTTTTGAATTTTGGCTCTGATGGAAATGTAGCATTTCAGAAGTGGTAGGAACCTGAATAAAAGTACAAAAGGAGACAAAAATCCAGGTGTGTTCCCAGGGAAAAAGCTTTTCCTTCGCAAGGTACGGAAGTTTCAGGGAAGCATCTACCCAGCATCTAACAAAATCAGGTTTTTAAATGGAAAAAAATTACAAAAAGGTATTAAAATTTAATTGAAGGCTGCCCACAGAGCTGGAATAACAATCTTCACTTAGAGTTATTACCGGCAAAAAATCTACAGGAATACTTGATTATTCCAGAACCACAGCAAAAGTCAAATTTGACAACTGACTTTTGCTTATTCTGTACACTTTAAAAATATGGCTCTGCAGTTTTATTTATCACTACCGCTTATTATGTCTACAAATGTCACATTTTTTTGATTCTTTCAAAAAAGTGTTTTCAACTCGCAGTTTTTCAGTCTCCTGTAAAACAGAGAAAAAACATGGGTATATTAAGGAAATTATCCTCCCTTTTTTTTTTTTGTATTTTTACATAAGCAGTATTTAGAGTTGTTCAAGTGTTTTATGCACTATATACTTGAGGAAGTAAAATGGAGATCAAAGGTATCTCTGTTCCTCTCCAACAGAAGAGCAGGAATTTTAGTCTTCATTCTCAAAGCTTACTTAGCTCTTTGCTATGTCAGGCCATTACTCCATCTGTAATCTACTCTGCAACTTACCTCTGTAAGTTTAGCATAATCTTTCTTCAGTTTCACAAGATACTGAATCTTCTGGTTTAGGTTTTGATGACCAAGTAATTTCCCATTCTCCTCAGCAAGCGAGTGAACTTGCTTCCTCAGCAATTTTATTTCCTGTAATAGTAAATACATTGTGTACCTCTTAGCAGTAGCCTCTCCTCTTTTCAAAAGCAATAGCTTCTTAGAGCTAACATACTAACATTCAAGTTTGTTGTAACATATGATGCAAGAGTTGCTTCACTCTGCAAATACATGTTTGTCTTATGTTTCCTTAGACACTATGTTAGATCCCTCTAAAAGGCAAAAAAAAGCACCATTTGATTTGTACTACTAAGTGATTTCTGTATCCAGACTTTCACTAGAGCAGAGAACATCGCAAATAAAGCTAAACTGCAAAACAAACCAGCTGTACCTCTGCTAAATAAGATTCTTCTGTGAAGATGACAAAAAATTATGTATATGTAACCTTTTCAATCCTGTCTCTTTCTTCATATGCTTCCTCCAGTTTTGATCTAATTTCTTCTTTCTCATTAAATGCTTTGAGCTCCAAAGTTCTTGTTCGTTCCATCTCCAGAGTCATTTCACGACAGCTTTTCTCTTGGATTCTGAGGATATTTTTGGCCTCTTCTAATCTGCCAATATAAAATAATCATAAATCATTAAAAACCAACAAAAATGTCACACAACTGAATTCCTCAGTCAGTCTTGGACATGGAGGGAGGGTCCTTTAAAAGCGTTATTTTGAGATATTGTATTTCCCTTAGAATTTAGTGCTAAGGAAAGGAAAAATTTCATTCTGCTTCACCGTTCTTGTGTTTGAGAGTATCAACTAGGCAGTGTTTTGGAGCTGCTCTTCTCTTTGGGAACTGTGCTGTTTACAATCCAGAATATACAACTCCACTCATGACTGAAAACAGAAGCTTCACCTACAAGAACACTTTGAATTAATTCACCTAAGGAATGCTAAACTCAGCTGCTCTACAGGTTCCCTTTATAAAATGCTTGTTTGTCTGTGGCTTTTTTTGAAAAAAAAAATCATTTTTCAAGCTGAACCACAGAAATGTAAACAAATAGCATAAAAACCACATAATTACATAATGTTTAAAATTATAAAACATTTGCAGTATCAATAAAGAAATGAACAGTATTTTAATTTAATTTGAAAAGGAATGTGATTACAATTCACTGCATAAAAATAACTTTAAACAATTAAAAACATCCCTTGCAATTAAGCTTTTATGGTTCTCCCCTTTAAAGTATTGTCCCAATGTAATGCTATGTAGTAATAGGTGCTACTACCACCTACTGATGAGAAAGAGTAAGAATTCAAGGTATCTTGCAGAAGTGTAAATACTTCCAAATTATGCCTTTTGTAATTTCAGGTCTTGGACTTTTATCGCTTAAATGTATCTTTTTTTCTGTGATTAATTAGTTTAATACTAGTTTCCAGTTCAAGGAATAATAGTTAGACTTACTCTGCTTTGATTTTCAGCATTTCTTCCACTGCTTTATTCTGGAAAAGTTCAAAAACATTAGATGCACCCTTAATGTTTAATATACACATATATTTATGTTTAAAAATATGCCACTTAATTGATACTACATATCTCATTCCAGATCATCCTGCTACCTAGTAGTTCACATCTCTAATATTCACTTTAAGTTAATCTCTTTGCTGTAGGCACTTATTTCCCATTTCATGCCAGCACAGCTGACCCACAGCAGTGTCTCTCTGCCCACACTCTGCCCACAGCAGAGCTCTAGTGGGGTTCTTCTGTCTGGGACATCCATGGAAACCACTGCTGTGACATTAACTTCCCTTTGACAGAGCTCTGACATTAGCAAGTGACACAATCTTCACTTTCCAACTCTGGGGATGAGTCAGATTTAGCAATCTGAATCTGTTTTTGCTAATTGTGCAATCTGACACCCAGTTCACTGCTGTCAGGCCAATATAGAAATCCTAAGAGCTAAGTCTCAGGCTGTGTCTGTTAGAATTCACTAGAAATTGGTGTTTGTTTTCCTGTCATGAAAACAAAAAAAATCAAAGCAAACCAACAAAAAAAATCACATTAATACTTCACAGCAGGTCAACGGCAACTGACACGAGAAGGATAATATACCTTGGCAAGTCGCTCTTCAGCAATCTCTTCCTCTTTCTCTTTAAGATACTGAACATCAGGATGTTTCTGATCACTATGAAATTCAAGAAAGAGAAAAAAAGTTTCTTACAAACAGAGGAAAACAGTTGTAAAAACATGTTATCCAGATTAAACCAGTAAGTGTGTGCAGCTGTTTTCACACATGTTCATACTCAAAATACTGAACATCATAAAAAAATTCTGGAAGGGTTTAAACTTCTAAACACATTTTCTTTCATCAGAATATAAAGAAATTAATGTATTAATGGAAACAATTACAAATGTAACAGATATGCAACTTATGCTTGTTAGACAGCTGTGCTGGTTTTGGCCGGGGTAGAATTCATCATCTTCACAGCAGCCATTACGAGGCTGTGTTTTGGATTTGTGCTGAACACAGGGCTGACAATGTAGAGATCTGTTTCTTATTGCTGAGCAAGGCTTGCACACAGCCAAGGCTTTTCTTGCCTTCCATACAACCCCAGCTTCCCACACTGGCTGGGAAGCTGGGGTTGCATTGGAGGCTGGGAGGAGACACAGCCAGGACAGGAGACCCAAACTGACCAAAGGGACATTGCAGACCATGTGACATCATGCTCAGTGCCTAAT